ATGAGTGGCTCTGGGGGCTTGGCCCCGGTGCGGTGGGCTGTGCCCCAGGGGTCTGCAGAAAGGGGGTTACTCTGACTCGACATTCCAAGGGCTTGTTACCTTAGATGCACAGAGACAACAGACAGGCTCACTTAAGGTCAAGACCGACCTTTGTCAAGGAAGCCACAGGCCAGGAGGTGGCTGCGCTCCGTGACCTGCTGTTAGGGATTTTTGTGTGCAGACCCTCCTGTGTGGTTGGTTAATTTTGGCCCTGAGCTTGTCAGGTGTAGTGTGTGGCCCCCTTTTTGTCCACAATGGCTTTGGGGAGTGTGGACGCCTTGAAAACACTGTTTTCCGGTCTGGTGAAGGGATGGCTTCTGACTGACTTAGGCCTTCTTTAATGTCTTTCAGGGCTGTTTTGCAATTTTCAGGAATAAATCTCTCTCTCCTTGATTAAATTTATTCCCGGGTGTTTTGGTCTCCTAGATTGTGATATTGTGAGATAATAAGAAATAGATATTTGGTCTTCATCCCCAGTTCTTGGCTCAAAAGCTTATGAAAACCTTGGGATTTCCTGAGTGATGGGGTTGGGAGGGCCTGTTTCATTATCCATGATGACCCCTTCAGACCACACCTGAGGTGATGCTAATGCACTGACTTGCCAGCTCACAGGTAGCTCCAGGATTGCGCTGGTTGCTGGTTGGTTATTAGAGGGCTGACCTCTGGGGACTAGGATTAAGTTAATCACCAGTAGCCAATGACTTAATCATAATTCAGCCTCCATAAAAACTAAGTGATCATTGGAACGACATGGATGGACCTAGACTGAGTGAAATAAGTCAGAGAAAGAGAAATACTATATGACTTCACTTATATGCAGAATCTAAGGAACAAAAAGAACAAACTAAAACAGACTCACAAATACAGAGGCCAATCTGGTGAGACAGCCAAAGGGGAAGGGTGTTGGGCTCGGAGAATGGGGCGAAGGGGTAAAGAAGTACAAATTAGCAGTTGATAGATGGTCACACGGCGCAGGGGATGCAGTCGGCAGTAACGTTATGGATAGAGGGAGGGCCAGAGTGGGGAGCAATTAGGGGGATCGTTTTATAAACTGTATAAATGTCTAACCAGTGTACTGTATGCTTGAAACTAATCAAATTAAAAAAAATAAACGGTGAGATTTGGGAGAGCTAAATCCCTCCGGTCCCCATGCAGACCTGACCCTAGGTGCCTCTTCGCCTGGCTTTTTGTGTCCTTTACAATAAACCAGTAATAGTAAAGTTTCCCCTCAAACTGTGAACCATTCTTACAGATTACTGAACCTGAAGAGGGGGTCATGGAAGCCCCAATTTATAGCCAGGTCAAGTAGAACTGTGGGTAACCTGGGGACCCCCTACTAGTGATTGGCCTCTGAAGCAGGGGGCGGTCTTGAGGTCAGTAGTGTCAAAATTGAATTAAATTGAAGGCCACCCAGGGTGTGTCTGCAGAGCGGGAGAATTGCTCGGTGTGGAAAACCCACATGTCCATGTCGTTGTAAATGGAACTGCTTTCCTAAGTCCCTTTTCCATTGTTCGTTACTGGTGGATAAAGAACACATCCGTTTTTTGTGTGATGACCTTGTGCTCTGCAATCGTGCTGAATTTATTAGCTCAAGGAGCTTTCTGGTGGGTTCCTTGGGATTTCCTATGGGTCGGATCATGTCACCTGCAAATAGAAATGGTCTCAGATGCCTTTTCTTCTTCCAGTTGCCCTGGCTGGAGCTTCTAGTGCAGGGAGCAGCTTCTAGTGCAGGGAAAGCCGAAAGGCTTTCTGGCGTCACGTGAAACCGTGGGTGAAACTTTCATTCTTTCCTCACGGAGCCTGGTGTCGTGGCCTTTTCATAAACGTCCTTTTTGGTGTTGAGGACTCTTCCCCCATCCCTGGTTTTCTGAGGGTTTCTGTCACGAAAGGGTGTTGCCATTTGGAAATGCCTGTCCTGCGTCAGCTGAGGTGACCGTGTGTTTGGTTCTCTCCAGCACTGTGACGCGTGACGATTTTCTCACACCAAACCGCCCCCGCGTCCCTAGCGTGAATTCCACCTTGTGGCGTGTCAGCCTTTTCAGGGGCTGATGGATTCGGGTTGCTGGTATTTTGTTGAGGATTTTGCATGGAGATTCATAACGGGTATTGGTTTCTGACTTTCCATTTTGTGACGTCTTAATATGGCATTGGTGTGAGGGAAATCCTGACTTCGTGGAATGAGTCGGAAAGTGTTTTCCCCTCTTCTGTTTTTTCGAAGAGTTTGAGAAGGATTGATGTTGATTTCTCTTTAGATGCTCAGTAGAATTCAGCAATGACTCCATGCGGTCCTAAAATTTGCTTTTTGGGAAGTTTTTGATTGCTAATCAGTATTTTTACTTGTTAGAGGTCTACTGAGATTTTGTGTATTCTTGAGTGAATGTAGGTAATTTGTATGTTTCTAGGAATTTGTCCATTTTACCTAGGTGATCCGGTTTTGATCTTTTCAAAGAAATTTTTAGTTATACTACTTCCCTCTCTCCCTCTCCCCCTTCTTCCTTCTTCCTCTGTCCTGCTTTCTCTTCCTCTTGACTGTTTTTATCTCTAAAGGTTTGTAAAAACTGATCTTTTCAAAGAAACTTTGAGTTACATTAATTCTCTCCCCCTGTTCCCTCACCCCTCTTTCGTCCCCTTCTTCCCTCCCTCCCTGAATTGGTAAAGGGATCTCTCCAAAGAAGAAACTTTCAGTTACATTCTCTTTCCCTCTCTCTCTCCCGCTTTTTCTTTCTTCCTCTCTCTCTAAAGGTTGGTAAAAAGTGATCCTTTCAAATAAGTAACTTTTAGTTACATTAATTCTGTCTCTTTTCCTCTCCAGCAAATTTAGTTCACTCTTCTTTTTTTAATTCATCTTCTAGTATTTTCTCATTGATTCTTTGACCCATTGGTTAATAATATATAGTTCAGCT